AGAAGATTTTGACTTAACATGGCAGTTGACTTGGGACTTCATATCGAAGACTTGAGACTTACTTTGTCCCACCTCTGCTGCATAGTAACTCAGTGTTTTAAACTGCAACGTCTATCAAATTGTTAAAAGAAAGAGGATCTCCATAGGCCAGGGGCAAGACCTCAGATACTGAAAGGCAAAGCAAGCAATGAAACCGAAGGCGCAGCAGCTGTTTGTTATATATGCTGTAGATATTTTTCAGTTTTGTTATGTATATAAGTTTGGTTTGTAACTCAAGACAAAATTTGAAAATCTGACAGTAAAACTCAACAATGTCATCTTGTTTGTATTCAGTTAGAGGTCACAGAATGTATGTTTCTGTTAACACAGTCTACTGTACCTGAAAAAACTAAACAAAATAGATTAACACACCAGCTACTCAACATCAGTACTAAGCGTTTTTCATAGGATTCTCCCCCTGAATTTCAGTGTTTTCTTAGTTTTTCTTTCAATTGATCTGATTGGAACTGGAGCAGAGAAGCAACCTTCACACACTATCACTGACTAGACAAACTGTATTTTTTTCCACAGACCTTGCCACCCTCCATCAACCTTCTCATGGATATGTATGTTGATCGCTGCTGTTCATTTGGGTAAGCTAAATGTTTCCTTTCCCAGTCTGTCAGTATCTGTGACCAGAACTCAAATGCAGACCAGAGTTGGGTGTTCAAACAAAGGGATATTTATTGATAGCTCAGCACAAACAAAGTGGGCCAGGGCGTTGTAGGTGATTCCGATGGGCCAGTGATTGGGTCCGAGTTCCGGTGCTCTGGATAGCGCTGGGCTGGCAGGCAGAACTGAGTCCGGGCTTTGGGCTGGTGGTCTGAGGGAGAGACACAGAGAGCCAATTAACAATGAAAAATTAAACAGGCAATTTATTTGATTCCAAAGCTAGTACAGTGTTTCCCACAGCATGACAGCTTAACTGTGGCGCAGTGGATGTTGACTATAACTTTTCTAACCTTAACATAGCTGTCTTTATTAGCTAGGCTACTCGCTAATATCTTTTTTTGAAGGTGGGTCTCTGACATTGACAGCGTTGGGTTGGACAGATTTGTGCAGCGATGTTCATGATTGTAAGCATTCAATTCACATACTGGTCCGTTGTTAAAGTGTGTTCACGAGCAAGCAAGAGAGATAGAGACCCCTAGCTTGTGCTCCAGTGGGTGGTGGGAATCGAACAGTAGGTATTGGTCTGTGTGTGTGGGTTTTCTGTAAACACCAATTTGCACCTGTCCTCTTCAATGTGTACAGCGCAGTCCGAGAAGGCCAAGCTGTTGTTGTGAACATCTTCTCGTGTTGACTTGATGTTGCTGTCTACAGTGTTGATGTGTTCTGTGAAGGCTTGCACTTCCTGGCTTTTAATTTTGACCCAGGTGTCGTCCACATATCTGTACCAGTGGCTTGGTGTTGTTCTTCTGAAGGAGTTGAGGGCTTTATTCTCCACTTCTTCCATGGAGATGTTCGCCACAATTGGGGATACCGGTGAGCCCATGGCACAGCCATGCTTCTGTCTGTAGAATCCTCCACTGAACTGGAAATAGGTGGTGTTTAGACAGAGGTCGAGTAATTTGCAGATCTGGTCAGGGCTGAGTCTGGTTCTGTTGTCCAGGCTGTTGTCTTGTGTTAGCCGTTTCCTAACGGTTTCTACTGCCTCTATGGTGGGGATGCAGGTGAACAAAGAAGTCACGTCATAGGATACCATGGTTTCATCTGGATCCAGTTTTAGTCCTTGAACTTTGGCAATAAAGCTCCTTCTGATTCTGATTCTGATTTTGTAAACAAATTAGAATCAGAAGGAGCTTAATTGGGTGAATGGTGTTTCGGTCATTGCCACCCTGGGGCTCTGGTTACTGGCTCTATGTAAAATTTGAAATCCCACGCACAACTCTTCAGCAAGCAAGCAAGCTATAAGAAGAAGCAAAAATTACATAAAATGTACAATGTAAGTTCTTTGGAAGAAGCTAGTTCAGTTGCAAAGAATCTGAAGAAAATGTTGTCGGAATAAAGGAAAAGAGAGCCTGAACGAGCAAGAGACTGGACAAGATTAAATATTGGACTGGCTTTTCCTTGTTGGAGTGAGCTAAAAGAGCTAAACAGATGCAAGACAGGATGCTGAGCTGATTTTCTTGCTGTTGGACTAGTCAGTAGTCCAAGTAGTCCAGCGTTGTCGACAGAGCTATAAATCTCGAGTTGATGTTAGCAAACTTACTAGATAACACACTCAGACGTTGTTACCTTCACTGTAAGTGCTCTTGCGTTAGCTTTGTTTGTTAGCTTGCCACCCAAGTTTTCAAACAACACTACTGCTGCTGGTGGAGGGCGGCGCTGGAGCTTGCTGAGTGGGCAACATCACCAGGCTCAGCAGCCTCTATGGACATAACATTAGCTAATGCTGATGCGAAGAGACCGAAGAGGACATTTACGGAGGAAGCTTTGAAGAGTAAAAGAGAGTTTGGAAGAAACTCAAGAGGGCAATAGAAAGCATCCTGACTGGAAACATCACAAACTTGCATGGGATGTGCACAGCCCAGGACCGGAGGGCTCTGCAGCGGGTGATTAAAACTGCATTGGTACCCATCTTATCATCTGTGCATCAGTGATATCAGTGAGGTGAGGTGCCTGTGCAGAGTCCAAAGGATACTAAAACACCGTACCCACCCCAGCCACAACCTGTTCACCCTGCTGCCTTCTGGGAAGAGATACAGAAATATCCTCCGTCATTCCACCAGACTCCAGAGCAGCTTCTTCCCCAAGGCATAGACTGTGAGACTCCTTAATTCATGCTCGGCAGTCTAACATGTAAAATAAAATACAGAAATATTATTTCTGTATATTTTTATGTTTTTGTATATAATGTTTGCTATTTGTGAGTAACATAAAGGGAACAACAACTCCAGCTTACTATATAAATCTGTGTTGTAAAATGACAAATAAATCTACCTTGTAACTTTAAAAACAAATCTAATAACCGATGTATGCCAATGAAGAACTTGAAATTTGAGGTAAAGTATTCTTATGGGTATTTTCACCTGCCATCTCGCAAACCATTTACTCACTGGGGATGGAAAGGGGGGCGCAGGCTGGCTGCGACACGTTATTACATCATTGGTTGCCAGTTTTGAATCAAACAAACTTATTACTGTCCTGGCTTATCACCCTATTATAAACTGTCAGTAGCTAGCATTACATTAGCAACAACAAGTACCAAATAGCTGTAGATATGTAACTTAGGGTTGTTAGGTCAGATCATGTATGCGTGTTCCTTTGTGCCTATAATAACACTGTTGACACAGTATCCAGATAACCAGAGAAAAGCAGAGACAGGTTACTCGAGTTGATGACAACTAATTATGTTACATAATGCTGAAATTCAACCATTTGGTATGTCAGGAGATGCAGTGACTTAAACCAACAGTGAAAAAGAAAAGTATAAATTAAATTAAAGTTATTATTATTTATAATAAGCTAACAATAACAGTTAATCATTTTATTATGATTATCTTGTTTTCATAATCATTGTAAGCCAAACAATTGAATAATGGAAATAGTCTGTGTGGCTCTCTGTCAGGCATGGAGATAGAAGAGGTGGAGGTTTTCTTCCCGTGGGTTAGTTGTCCGATTTGGATGAAAACAACTACGATATCTTGTATTCAAATTAACTGCTGAACTCTGACACCAAATTCGACCCAAAAGGAGCCCACATGTCCCTTTCAATAGCCGACAAGAGCCCGCGCTATAAGGAAGGGCCAGCCCCTATTATTTCGTGGGTAGCCTGAGCCAATTGTAAAATAATGATATCCAGCTTTAAGTAGGAAGTTCATGATCCACCAGCAAAAAAACAAAACACATCTGCGTCAACCGCCTAATAGAGAGCGATGCAGCAGCAGCTTGCCGCCAAGGGTTTTTGAAAAAAATACGGTAAGCCATACCCTTAAAAAAACCTGTGTAAAACAATGATTTTTCATGGTATTGGTATAAAATTTAAAATTGGACTAGGGAAGGCTTTATGCTGTGGCCCCACAGTGTCTTCCAGCTAACAAATCCCAGCTACAGTTGTCTGCATGCATGTGTTAGCAAACATTTTCAAGCGGAAACAAAAAATATATTAGTGTGTTTAAACTTATATTAATCAATTCCAGTAGCACTTACAATTATTTTGGGTTAGACACTTCAGAGTGTTATCTTTCAGAGAAGCACAAAACCATGGATATACTCCAAATGGTTCAAGAACTGCATTCAATTATGCTTTGAAAGGGTGTTTTGCATCAGTTTTACTGGAATGGTAAGAGGTTATGCATAACTGCTCACTTTAAACTCAGACGACACGTTTAGACACTTTTCAAATGTCTAAATCACCCCTTTCCTCAGACTACCTGTGTGGATAGCATCACTTCTTCATGCAGCCAAACGCCTGAGGGCTGACCGTGCCCGTCGGAAGAAGGTCTACAGGCTTCTGCATAGGAAACTGGTTGGTACTCATGTAATAAACTGCAAATGTGGTAGAACCATTGCTTTCTTACATCATATGTACATTTTGACCACATATCATTTTGCACATTGATGCTCATGTAATAATAATAATAATAATAATAATAATATAGTCTATATGGGTCATTTGATAAGGCAACAACAACTTACTTGTTTCACTGTTAATTTTGGGACATTTGTTGCTGGTGGCAGGGGCTGCTCATTAACCTCTCTACTGACTTGCTTAAAAGGATAACAGTGTGTGTGTTTGTATGAGTAGACAGAGTGGGACGCTGCTAGACATAGTATTGATAGTTGTCCCACAGTAAAATATAAATTCAAAGTCTTAGTGGCATAGCAGGATTTCTCCCAATTCTCCTTATTACCACTCCTCACTGCCAGTGGCCATGAATTGAGGTGGTTTAGTATCTGATCAGAATGCATCCCTGTTACAGGCTAGCAAAAAAATGAGTCCAGGCCCACAACTCAAAGCCAGGACTGGTAAATGTAACAATATTTATTTCTGCAGATACCAAAGGTGCATGGGAAGGGCAGAGCCCGGGGTTAGGGGAGGGGCAGGTCCGAGGACAATGCTAGGAGCAGAATTGGGCCGGACAGAGAGGCTGACGAGGGGACTACGACGAGGTCCAGTGGTTTAGGATCCAGCCGCGAGTCCAAAGTTCCAGAGTCCGAGGAGCAGGCTTAGGCAGGAGTGGAGCGTTGTCCAGCGTCAGGTCCAGCACCGAGCTCAAACATAACAAACTCGGGAGTATTGTCTACAAGTCAGGGTATTTATGGCGGAGGTGATTGTGGTTGGTGTCGTGCAGCTGTTCTCCTGACTCCCGTACACCCGTCACCACTTCTGCAATAAAGCACACAGACACAAGGATGGAAGAGAAAGAGAGAGAGCGAGCGAGATAGACCTACACCAGAAGTGCAGCTCTGTATTCAGGCCAGCGTCCCTGACACTCCTGGACACATTTTAGTTGAGGTACAATATTCCAGCAATGTCCAACTGGTAAGGAGGCCACGGGGCATAACCTGAACACACTGGAGGGATTAAATATCCCATCTGGTGGAGAAAAGTCTGGACTACCAGTGGACTACTTTTCTTTCACCATGACCTGGACTTCCATAAGCAACAGAAAATGAAAGTATGGATGGAAAAAATAAATGCACTGATAAATGATTGCTGATGACTGTAAATCCTCAAGGAACAGTCCTGTGTAGGCGCATCCACCAGAAGTCAAACATTATTTCAGCTCTTCTCTGTCCTCCTCAATTTTATTCCAGATGTTTCATGGGTTCGGTGTGAAGGAGGGGAATCCGAGTCAGCCCACCTATGTTTATCCTGAAGAGGTGAAAATGTTGCTGCATTCTGTCTTTTCACAGGACATCTGTGACTACCCTAACCCCTGCCATGACCAGGTGACTATAAACTCCTTTAACAACTCATTTTGACTCAGAAGTCATTTCAGCGCAGCTCCATGACAGTGAATTACATGGTCAGTGGGTTCTGGCCACTGGCTCTGTAACAGTTCTCACCGTTCACCTTAAACACTGAACAAAATTATAAACGCAACACTTTTGTTTTTGCCCCCATTCGTCATGAGCTGAACTCAAAGATCTAAGATTTTCTCTATGTACACAAAAGGCCTATTTCTCTCAAATATTGTTCACAAATCTGTCAAAATCTGTGTTAGTGAGCACTTCACCTTTGCAGAGATAATCCATCCACCTCACAGGTGTGGCATATCAAGATGCTGATCAGTATGGGTATTGCACAGGTGTGCCTTAGGCTGGCCACAATAAAAGGTCACTCAAAAATGTGTGTCCTGCAGTGCTGCTGTAGCCTCATATTTCCACAATTTGACTGATTTAAATGTTGTTTTGGGTGTAAATGGACAGAAGAAGCAGAGAAATGTGGTCTGATAAACCAAAATAGGGACAGGAGAGAGCTTTGTAGCTGCCTGGAATAATCATGTAGACATGTTCCAGGGTATTACTTCCCCCGGTGGGAGTGTCCACATGGAATTTAGGTAAAACAGTTCTAAAATCTCTCGTTGACTAAAATCATCAGCTACAATACATCTACATTTTCTAATTTTGCTGGGACTGAAATTCAACCCGGGACTTTGAGACAGAGAGGCCTTTTATGCAATGCAATTTTAATACTAAAAGTGTTTTTGTGGTATAAAGAGAATCAGAGTATGCTGAAGACCTTCACGAAACTTTAGGATGACACCTGCCTCCTCAGTTTTTATAAGCAAGTCACCACTGCCCTGAACAAGACCAGGGGTCTCATTTTTAAACAGTGCTTACGTACAAAACAGGGCTGGAAACGTCTGTATAAACAAACACCCGTTGATTGATTTTCCCTGTTTTCAGTGCGTCAGTTGAGTAAATACGAGAGCATAGTTTCATAATGTTATCATATGTTTGTTGTCTTATTGCACCAGCGTGTGGATGTGATACGCTGCTTGTAAAAACACATTATGGGAAATATAACACAATAACACTATTTATTAAGTTGATCTTTCAGTGTCCCGCTTATGGCACAAAACACAAGTCATATTTCTTTCAACTCATCAGCACCCTCTTTAAGTGAGTGGACTTTTTTTGTAGCCTCAATAAATGTGTTAACAAAAGTGGTATGAATTTGGTTTACTCTCGTTTCGAACGAGGGAATCCAAATTATGTACCTGAATTATCCAATGTGTCTTGTATGTTTATGTCCCCCTTCACCTCCATCACTACTCAGGAGGGATGCCCCTTGCAGCAGATCGGTTATAAAGGGGTGGAGCTACAGTGTTCGGCTCCACCCCTCCACCCCATCGGCCGGTTTTAGCCTGGAATGGACCGGCAGTAGGGAGTCTTCCTTAATATTTGATTATATCTTTTCATGTGACAACACTGAAGAAATGACACTTTGCTATTGCTATACTTTGCATTGTAAAGTACCGTAGTGAGTGTACAGCTTATATAACAGTGTAAATTTGCTGTCCCCTCAAAATAACATCACAAAGCCATTAATGTCTAAACCGCTGGCAGCAAAAGTGAGTACAACCTTAAGTGAAAATGTCTAAATTGGGCCCATTTTGTGTGGCCACCATTATTTTCCAGCACTGCCTTAACCCTCTTGGGTATGGAGTTCACCAGAGCTTCACAGGTTGCCACTCGAGTCCTCTTCCCCTCCTCAATGACGACATCACGGAAGTGTCATTTCTTCAGAGTTGTCACATGAAAAGATATTATCAAATATTAACAAAAATGTGAGGGGTGTACTCACTTTTGTGAGATACTGTACATAAATAAAACAGAAGAACTGTGCTGTTAATTCTCTCTCTGTCTCTCCAGGTGGTGTTCGTAACTGTAGAGGATCTGCACAAACTAAATTAACCCTAACCCTTTATTTGGATTATCTGTTAGTAATTGACCAGTACCAGTTTTATAAGGTGTCACTCAACATTTACAAAAAAAAAATCCTTCTTCTGTATGATACAGTATGCACTGATTGTTAATCTACCGTATGTTGAATATTCTCTTTCTCTGAGTCAATTCTGTGACCAGGAACAATTTAAATAAAAAAAAAGTTGTTCACATTCTATATATCAGCTTCTAACAGACTCTCCACATTTGATGCATTTCAACTGAATGTTGCAACAAACTACACTATCTGGTACCAGCTATGTGTGACAACAATGACAATGATTAATCGTTTGACTAATACCCATTAAATATCCATTTAATGGTCTCAACTAGTAATGTTAGTAGATTTTTTAATTTTGTTTGTGCACACACATTTTGTTTTGTAACTCACTTATGAGCCTCTCTACCAAATAGATGCTGATCAACAGCAAAAGTGCTTTTTTGTTGAAACAGTTCTAAACCTTGGTTAAGACCACAACTCTGTAATAAAAACACACAGGGAACTTTAACATATAACTATTTAAAGGCATGTAGAGGCCAACAAATTTTCTCCCATTTAAGGACTGGATTTTGTTTTCTCCACTGGAAGGGCAACCTACAGGGCACTTTATCCCATTGTCTTGCACACTGGGCCACCGTAGAGGTGGTGCACTCTACAATTCTTATTTTGATGAAATAACTATTAAATGAAAATTTTAAAGAGGTGTTATTATGCTTTTTGGCTTTTTCCTCTGCAAAGTGAAAAAGCCCAAAGTCCATCCCAAAGGGAGTTCCCATCTCCCACATCAGACTCTGCTCTGAACTGCCTGAAAACAGCTCGTTTGTAGTCCAGCTGTTTACCTTTCATCCCTGTTACGTCACAAGGATGAAAGCTAAATGCCCGCCAAGTGGCTACTCTGACATGCCCTCAAAAACACAGGTGGAAAAACACTAGACTGCAGCACACCTCTCCTCTCCCTTCCAAACACCAGCTACCCTCCAGGCAGTCAATGAACATGAAGTTGTTACTGTGATGTAGAGACAGAGCTCAGTTAAAACTTTATGGATGAAAGATACATTTGTTACAGATTAATAACTCACCACTCTCAAACTCTTGCTCCAGTCTATGTTGCCAAACTGGTCGGCAACATGTAGCCTATAGCTGAATCAATTGTTACTAGTAAAATGGGGAGAGTTACAAATATCAAAAGGAATAGTTATGGCTAGTAATAACTAAAGTACTTGTAGCTTTTAAATAGCGACTAGTAGGTTTAAAGGAATACACTTTTAAATGGCTTGCCATAGAGAATGTAATGAGACAAGCAACTGAAACTAAATACGAACACTTGTGATCAGGCTGAAATCTCACCACAAATCCACACAAATGATCAGCACCTCCGACAAAGTGCAGCTCACAGTCCCAAACAAAGCAACTCTGCACCTTAGTTTTTACATTTTTATAATGCAAAACTACCAGCTACGGTACTTGCCTGCACAATCTGGCTGCGACTCACAGCCGCTCAGCTCAAGTTGCACTTGGTTACTATCATGGCGTATGGTGGTGTAGCATCAGCTGGGTGGAGTTTATTTGCGCAGTTTCTCTTGCACACCCTCTTACATTTTGCGACCTAGGCCTAGGACTGTATACACGGGCTTCTTCTATACAAACACTGTGTGGGCAGATTCAGGGGGCAAAAATGCTTTGGTAGCCGGTCAGAAGACTGTAGTCCTCCATTGCAATCAACATAAATTTTGCATTGTTTGTAAATTCTAGTTAACTTAATAATAAACTATCAATTCAGAGTTGTATTTGTTTGTTTGTGTTTCATTTGCATATTAATAAAACATGCGCCACTGCGCAACGGACCTTATGTTGTTCAAGTCAGCTGTTAGCCAAGAAGGGGCAGGAGTTTTATTTTTTTCTTCATTTGGTTTTTTACTACTATTTTTTTCTATAATAAAAAAATTAATAAAATAAATAAAATATAATATATATATATATATATATTAAAAGATATCAATCAAGCATAAGTTAGAATGGAGAATGAGGGAGATAGGCTAGTTCTTTCCACAGCTTAAGTATTGCCATTGTTGTGTCTAAGATGCAAAGAACATTGTCGTCCATTGTAAACTCTGCGTGAGCAGCACAAAGCTTTCAACCCTGAACAATTCTACATCTAATTTATCAAAGCCTCTGTTAAAGCAGCGCAGCAATGTGAAACTTCGCCTACAGAAAGAAACTCAGCGCTAAGCAACGTTTTGTGTTTTGTAAAAGCACTAAATTCTTCTCTTATAAATGCATGTGCAAAAAAGTAACGTTAGTTCAAAAGTCTGGAGAGACTTGCTTTATTTTTTTTATCTCAGCCGTTGGCGTTAAGAAATGTTATGTTTGGTAAAAATAAATTTTCCCTCTGGGACCATAAAGTATATTTTTTTTAAAGTTTGACATTTTATTGGAATGAAGTAGGCCACTCCCTAGTGATATTTAGTAATCATTACTCCAAATTTTTTATTCCTTCCGCCATCATGTTATTGAATTCAGACAGTAGTCACTTTAAATAGGATCCTTATAAACAGCTTACATGATAAAGTATTTATTGAATGCTTGTATGCACCAATGTGCAGTGCAGTAGATTAGTGTAATTAAATAGCATTCTTTGAATCTGCAACTAATTTTATAGAGAGAGGAATTAGATATGGTATTACTTTGTCATACAATTACATGAGCAGCTGGATTGCATTTAGGTCATATCAAAGAGAAGAACTCAGCAGGAGCACAGTCTGGCCTAAGTGAATTCCACCCATGCAGCTTTGATGTGTCTAAAAGCTAACATTACAGTAACTTTTGTTCAACAGAGGAGATATGGAAGAAGAGAATATGTCTGTTGCTTTTTACTTGTTAACATCTTGGTTTCTTCAATTGTTAATATAAGTGTAGTTCTAATATAGTAACAAAAGATGCGAGTGCAAAGATTTTGCAAGTGCAAGTTAAGCATTCCCTCGGGGCTAAGCCCCCGTCTTTCAATCCTAGTAACGTCCCTGCGTGTCACGGTGTAAACATGAAACTGATTGTCTACTCCACAATTACAAAAGATTTAGCAAAAGAAAAAAGTACTACCACATTAGAGATTTTTTTGCATGGATCGACAATGAGGCGGAGGTTTTTAACACGGGAGTACAGACGACTGTGGCGGTGGAAAACAGTCTGAGTCATCATAAAGTAAATATGGCAACATGCACAGTACAATTGTATATGTGTTATTTGCACAGTACAAAATATTTTATTAAAAATACCAAAACCAAAACACTGTATGTAGCATTTTGTTTTTTGTTCTGCATGCAAGATCCTATCAAGAAGCCTAATGTGAGTGTCTGCGTCATCGTTTCTGAAGTCCTCCATTTTTGCCTGTCAGCACTAATACACTACCCCGAAATATAAAAAAAACAAAAAAAAACGGGGTCAGCAGCATTTTCAAACTTCTCCGTTTTAGGTTTTCGGATTTGCCGTTATAGCCTGGACGGTAGATGCAAACGTAGCAAAAGGTCTGTGTTTTAAAACAAAAATGTAGTAGTGTGGATATAGTCTAAGACGTGATGCGAGGAGTTGAGGAGGCACAACTGAGAAACGAGAAAGGCCTATTTGAAGCCCTGGGATGAGGTCGCACCCCCCACGCTGTGGTCCAGCCAATCAGATGGCTATTTTTCTTCCTCTTTGGAAGTTTTAGCAGCATCTTTCCTGGTGCACTGTGCTGATTACGACACAGCATCAACACCAGCTTAATACCACAATTGTAGTTACAAATGACAAAAATCCATGAAGTGCAACGCTTGCTAAAAAATAGTGTTTACCACCAGAGTGAGCTGGAGGCGGGACCAAATTTGACGGAGACGGCCGCTTCTACTATGTCTACAGACTTTACTTTATTTACTTAACCCTTGTGTTGCGTTTGGGTCTGCGGGGGCCATTTGAGACTGCTCCAGTTGTTACCACACACTTTACCTTTTACCTATAATATTTTCTGACACTATCCCAGCCCCATAAGGGCCTGTGAGCACCAAAGCGTTTTTTCCTGATGCCAGCATGTTTTTTCAATTAATTGCAATGGGAGCGCCGCGTTTTTACAACATGGTAAAAACACCAGCAGCGTGACGAGGCATTGAGCGTCTCTCCGAAATTATCAATGAAAACTAAGTTGTGTGAGGATCAAACAGACTGTAGCCATGTGTTGAGACTTAGCAGCCAGCTAAAACGCCGTACACCGTGTGGTGAGACGGAGACCACTTGGACAGAGTCGTGGAGAGTGCAGGCGGCCACAAGCCATCACAATCTGGAGACGGTCTGAAGAGCAGTGTGGGGGGAAGTCCTGCTCTTCCAGGATGGAAAATGTGTTGGTCAGCGACAGGGGAGCTTCCCACCATGTTTACTCTTACGAGTCTGATTTGCAATGCAATGGTTAAAATGCAATTTGTAAGAACTCTAATTGGCCTTTTCATAAGGCTATACTGCTTCTTTAAATTTAGGGAAGCCAATTTATTTCAGAAGCATTTTTGTTGGATTTGTTGAAATTCTTGACATACTGACAGCAAATAATAAATCAAATGCCTGTCTACCTACCTACCTGTTCACAATCTTCCTGTAAGGTCTGAAGAAAGGGTTGGGATTTGTTTGTTTAGATACTTTACTCTTACTAGTTACCTACCCTATAGCTTTAAACTGTTGTTGAAACTTCAAACTGAGACTGATATTTATTTTTAAAAATAATGGATACAAGAGCAGTTAGGTATGGTCACCAGCGGTTTAAGATATTTTAATTGATGTTTTGATGGTTCTTATTTGCTGTGAAAGTAGGTCACCATTGGAATTAACTGAAACTGCCGTGAATCGAAATCTGACTACAACATTTGATTGTCAAAACTTCAGATGAATATGCCATAAAAGACCTATCCTATAAATGTCTTTAAAAATTTAATAATTCACCTTTTTTACTTACTTGACATTGCACCCACCTAATAAAGTAGAGTTTGAAGCCTCTGCATCGACATGTTGACAAAGTCTGTGTGTACATAGCACTGTCAGCAATCACAGACAGTTTTTGTTCAAAACCCAAGGGGGAAGTTTCTGGTCTGAGACGTGACTCCATTGCGGAAGTCCCTTAAACCTGCATACGGCCAGCAGGGGGCGACTCTTCTGGTTCCAAAAAGAAGTTTGGTTCCCTTAGAAATAATGGTAAAATTACCCTACTTCTCAGCTGATTTATTACCTCTGTAAACACTTTCCTGATGAGTTTATGGTCTCTGTCGCTAGTTTCAGGTCTTCTTAAATACAAAATGATTTAAAAAAAAAAAAGCAAATTATGGTCCCATTTATTTTAAAATAGACCATAAAGCAGAGTATGCTTTACGGCGAGATTATCTGTGATTGACAAGTCGTAACCATGGCGACCTGTCAATCAGACTAGAGTAACTCGTACCCACGGCACTATGTAACTTTAAACAGCGCCGTTATAAAAGCTTATAAGGAGTTGGCTGTTCACTTTCTCTGGTGAGTACATTTAGTTTTTTTAGACTGTTGTTCGCTAGACAAAGCTGTCAGCCCTGTTAAAATGACAGGTCGAATTACAGATGCACCTAAGCAAGCTAACTAGCTCCACAAACGGCCGTTAGCTCCACCTTCTCGTCCAAATATGGTCATTATTGGGCACTTCCTTGTTGCAAAAACTCAACATGGCGGCGCCCTATCGGCCAAAACTCGAGGCTTCAAAACGGCAGTCCACAAACCAACGGGTGACGTCACGATGACTACGTCTACTTCTTATAAAAATTCCCAAATTGCAACATACCCATACCCACACATAACAGGTGATGGATACCATACCAAATACCATAGTAACCTGGTCAATCAAGAGCTCTAAAAGCCACTTGGAGTTAGATACAGTACGTCTACAAAAGTTCAGTCCTTGAATATAATAGCTTTTGCACATGTGCATGTTGCCTTTAGGTGGATGGTGATCACGTTTCTGATGCAATCTCGCAATAAGTGATAACACTGGCCCTCTCTGTTGTGGTCCTGCTTGGTAGCAGGGCTTAAACAAAGCTGTGACTTGTGCTACATTCAACATGCGGCTGTGTTGTACTTCGACAACGTGTAAACTGACTTGTAACTCCGTGGTTTGGAGCTTTAGTTTCATTCATGTGTTCCTATTTGTAGGCTACTTTAATCAGCCTCACTGTTTACTGATTACTTTAGCTTTATTTTTTGTGTCAGATTATGACTGATCTAAACTAAATTTCTATCTTAATGTTAAGCTTTCCACTGTTGAACTACTGCAAGGAGAAAAGAAAAAAACACTAGTAGGATAAATCAAGTATAAATCCAGCTTAAAGGGATATGACCTATATTGTTATGATACTAAGCCAGTTGAAAATCAGTCACCAAGTTTCCCTTTAAGGTGTAAAAGCACAGTGAATTTGTTTTTTTTTTTAAGCCTGTTTCATGCATTCTTCATCAGATATATTAAAATGCTTTAAATCCACAGATTGGGTCTGGGTGTGTCTATTTCCTACAGCTATTTTTTCTTTTTCTCAGTGCCTGGAGTTAAAAATAGTTTGGTAAGGAAAAACCTCAAACCTAGCAACTGTGTGCTGATCCAGAAGTCAGCACAGACTGGACATTTTCTCCTGGTGACTGTATGTCTTCGTTTCAGTGGCAGTCTCTCACAGTGCTGTAGTCAGTGCATTTGTGTTTTGAAAGTATCTCAAAGGGCTTTGGGCATTTAAAGCTGCCAGGGAAACACTGGTGCCAAGTGCTAACTGCCACCTTCTCTGTGGGTTGTTTTAATAGGCCAGCATGAAGGAGCACAGCATGGGCCTGTGTGTTTCCGTCTGCGTCTGTCCACAGCACATTACAACAGATTATTGGTGTCAGGGCCAGTGTGCGACTTCAGCTTTTTTTAAGAAGATCAACTCAAGTTCACATCATACAGCTAGCCGGTGAGCTCAAGCTTTTTCTTTAAACAATTGTTGCACAATATTAATTTGTGTCATTTAGTTACCATTGTGTCATAGTGTACCACGGATTTCAGTATCAATTCATTAAAATATGAAAAATCTATCCTACAAACCAATTCCTGAGTTAAGGTACCAAAACCAAACCAATTTTCACTACCTTGCCAAATATAAACATACAAGCAAATAGTTGTTTTTTTTCAGTTAGGAAAAGAAAGTTGTGTTTAGCTTTTCAGATTTAGCACTGCAAATTCCACTCTGACAGAACTGGAATTATTGATTATTAAGTTCTGCCTACCAGTGCAGGGACCTTTTGGGGTGCAGGGACTGTAGCTGAGGAGTTAAATTTAGAGCCTGTCTCCTCCAGAGATGCAAATAATGTTCCTTAGTTTCACAAAAAGTCCTGGAGAGCTTCTGGGAAAAGTTCTGCAGCAGAAATTGGCTAATAGAAGATTTTATCTTTATTGACCACCCCTGCCACCCTCTTTCTTTAGTCAAAAATTCAGAATGTCCTGTCTGATTAGCAACATACATAGTACTGAAGCTGATGGCACTCCTCGTTTTAAAACAAGACAATAATGATCTAGTCGCTCAGGATTAGTTACAACTGTTACTCTGTATTGACTATCGCAGTGTCGATTAGCGGGGCTCTGGGCAATATGCACATCTCAGTAAATAATAAGCATCACCTGTTCAGTTATATTATAAATAGTATTTTATATTTGAAAATGGATTAAAATAAACCAGAGAGCCAGTTTGAATGAACCTGATGCTGCTGAACATTAATATCTAGCAATATTGTTATCTACAAATTACTAAGGGGCTAAGCTTAAGTTTGTCAGTAGAGTAGATGCTGGATGCTTGGTTACCAAGCTAGCTTGATAAAGGCCCATTTATACTTCTGCGTAGGGTCTACGTGCGTACCTACGCCGTAGGCTACGCACGTAGCCATGCATTTATACATGTGCGTAGGTGTGTCCGTCATTCTGCAATTACACCCCAAACGCTAGTCGGCAGTAGCGCTACAGCGTCCACTGTGATGACTTTTGACAGCCGAGCAGGCTAACTTCCGGTTTAGCCCTCCGCTAACGTAAATGGGGGTAAAATTATAAACGTGCGGCTGGTGTAGTGTTATTAAATGTTACTGACTGAATGGATCACAATCTGATAGCAAAACGAGTCATTTCGCTCGGGTTGTGATGGTCAAATATATTGATTCACAATGTTTTGGCCGCTAGTAAATGTTACTTCAAAGCTTAGGTACTTCCGGTCGGCTCGGAGGCATTGCGAGGCTACCCAGCCGACCAATCGCAGAGCTTACGGTCCGCGTCGACTCGACGTGTAGTTACATTTTTGAGGAGGTGCACGTCAGGCGACGGCGCAGCTTCTGCATAGCCTATGTCGTCGATTTGACGCAGAAGTATAAATTGCACTTAAGGCCTAGAAGCTAGGGTCCATGCTACATTTGCTTTGTTTTAAGGAGTAGCTGAGTGAATTACACAGCATTGCTATTGAAGGGAACGTTATAAAAAAAATACTATGGTTTTCTAAGATGATTTTATTTTAATGTTGTGTGTGGAAATGTTAAACCTTAATGTGTTAATTCTGCTGTGGGTAGATAAAACATTGTTTTCTGATAAGGGTACTCTAATTAGAGTATTGCATTGCAACTACAGTTATATGTTGCAACTTAAGTTATTTAGAGCCTGTACTGCAGAGGTGGGCAATTAATTTTTACAAGGGGCCACATGAGAAACCTGAATTGTGTCAGAGGGCCACACCAACAATAACTTGAACTTAATTTATTCATCTCCACAAACAATGAAAAACAACAAACAGCTGAACAAGTTTATAGGAATACAGCAATACAACAAACAAAAACTTGTAATGTTTTCCACCTCATTTTACCTCTTCAGTGAGAATAATCCAGTCTGTTCTGGGCTTGAACAAGTGCATTGAAATCTGGCTGAACATCTGAGGTGGCTATGCGAAGGACAGCTGAGAGGTGGTCATCAGTGATAGAGGATCTGTGTTTGGATTTGTTGAACTTCATCACTGAGAATGTCTGTTCACATACATAGGTAGATCCAAACAGGACAAGAATCCTCTGAGCATGCCTCCTCAGGTGTGGAAAGTTCTCCTCTTTGAGGGAGGAGTAAAAGTCCAGCAGTGAGACTGACCTGAAGTGCTCTGCCAGAAGCGTGTCAGACTGCAGGTCAATGAGTTCCATCTGGACATCACTTGGTGCATTATCCACATTGCAGTTGAAGGGAGAAGACACCATGTGCATTTCACTCTCAAGAGTTTTGAAATCTTGAAATCGCCTTGAAAACTCTCCATGCAGTGCTTCTAACATGGTTGAGTACTTGTGGAGATGATCGGCTGATCTTGTGGCTTCCTTTAGTGTTGGCAGGTGGGTCAGAAAGTTGTCCTTCACTTGGCTTGAGAGAAGCTGCAACTTTCTCATGAAAGCCTTCACTGCACTGTACATCTCATGCACAAAAAGGCCCTTGCACTGCAGTTTGACATTTAGTTCGTTTATGAGTGCAGTCACATCCACAGCAAATCCGAGGTCTGCAACCCAGTCTTCATCTGAAAGCTCTGGGACGTCATGTCCTTTCTTCACACAGAAATCCTGAATCTGGTCTCTCAGATCCCAGACACTTTTCAGCACTTTGCCTAGGCTGAGCCACCTGACGGTGCAGTGATAGCTTATGTCACCATGTTCAAGCTCATTTTCCTCCAAAAGTGCAACAAATTGCCTGTGATTTAATGCTCTCCCTCTGATGAAGTTAACTGTTTTAGTTACAGCATCAACAACATGGTTCACAACACTGTCTTACACAACACTTCCGGATGTATAATACAATGCAAAAATGTCAACTTCTGCACAGGGTTCATTTCTGTCACTTTATCCTGCATTCTCTTTAAAAGTCCAACATTTTTCCCTGTCAGATTTGGACAACCGTCTGTTGTCACACCTACCGGCTTGTCCCATTTCAGTCCTAACATGTCCAAACATGCATTTACCTCTGTGAACAAGTCATTACCAGAGGTTGTGCCTTTTATTGACTGCATGGCCGCCAGCTCCTCCGTGACTTTAAAGTCTGCAGTTATCCCACGTAAGAAGATGAGGAGCTGGGCGGTGTCACGTACATCGGAGCTCTCATCCAAAGCCAGAGAAAAACAGTCAAAGTCGTCCGCTCTGTTCTTCAGCTGAAGCTCCAAGTTCCCAGCGATGTCCTCAACCCGCCTCGTTACGGTGCATCGGGAGAGTGACACGTTCTCAAACGCGGCCTTTTTCTCCGGACATATCAGTGCTACAGAGTCCAATAAGCACTCCTTAATGAACTCGCCGTCAGAAAACGCCTTACTTTTTCTGGCGATTTTGTGAGAAATTACATAACTTGTCCTGACGGCTGCATCTCTGGGGGTGTGAAGTTTGGTAAAAAGGCCTTGTTGGGTTTGCAGTTTTGCTAGCAACGCATCAGACTCCTTTGCGCGCTCTTCGTCAGTCAAATTTCTGTATTTCTCCTCATGCTTGGTGGTGTAGTGACGATTCAAATTATAATCTTTCAACACAGCAACCTGTGTACCACAAATTAAGCACACAGCATTACCTTTAATTTCTGTAAAGAAATACTTGGCAGTCCATGTCTTGTTGAAAACGCGGCATTCCTTATCAACTTTTCTTTTCTTAGCGTGAGCTGACATCTTGGGGTAATCTGGCTAGCATCACTTGTCCCTGTTCACCTGCGCGCGTGTGCGCGGGAGCTGTGCGTACACACGGAAGACACAAACACAAACGTAGCGCTTTCAAAATAAAAGCGCCACAGTTGTATTGCACGCACGACATATATTAGTTTAATTTATGTTGTAATTTATGATTGGCCTCTCGCGGGCCGGACAGGGACGTACAAAGGGCCGGATGTGGCCCGCGGGCCGTAGTTTGCCCAGGTCTGCTGTACTGCCTACAGTTTTCCTAATACAGGGATAAGAGTAGCTTTATGTTATTTCTGTTGATTTGTTATGAGCTGTTATTGAATAAGTACAAGGTTGTACATGTTATATGCTGGTTACTGTAGATATATGTAGATATTGAGCTAAGATTTGAAGTTTGAACTGAAGTATGATAAATATGCCTGAACATGTGATCATTGAGTATTATGCATGAGTATTATTCAGCATGTGATGCTTAAATGTTACATGGTTGTTATGCTTTAGTATGATTGTTGTACAACAGATAGATATATAGAACACCGTTTTAAAGTCTTGTTTGCAAAAACAGGTCAGGTCTTATGGACAGAGCAAGAACTACTTGGAAGATCCCTTTCTATCGATGGCGAGCCTCCCAGTGTGATCTTGAAGAGACGCAGACCAACTCATCGAACACTCCCCCTGGTGGTAGGAAAGTATCAGTCGCCTGAGCTGGTACACACACTTCATCCAAAAGTGCCAACTTTCCTCTTAAACAAGGAAACTGTCACAGAACTGGTGACACGCACTTTAACAGAGAACTACTGACAGTGGACTGACTAATACAGAAAGTGATCATAAACAGACAGACTTTAACGACTGCAAAAGGCAAAACCCAAAGACTCATTTATTTTAAATTGCCCATTTTTATTTGTGTTTCAACTGTTATTTGCAAAGTAATGTGAGTAAAAGTTACTGGTTACAACTTACCTGGCCTGATACTTCCTTTTATGGGTGCAGTTTATATCACTTAGCTCCTTCCGAACCTAGCACAGTGTTAGTTCACGTTTAGAGGGTAGCACGGTTACACTTGGGAAGTGGCATACGATACCTGTTTTGTACGTACGCACTATTTATAAATGAGACCCCTGGTTGAATACTGCAATCAGCTCCTTTGGTACATCAAAAGACAACATGGGTAGGCACAGTTACTGTCAAAGCTAAGACACAAGCAGACCAAGCAGGGGCCTTCATACTGTATGTCTTACATGAGAGAAAAATGACCAACACACTCCTACTTCATCACCCTTTATGTCGTAACTCAGAAACCTGGCCCCACAGCCCATCTACCTGTCTTCACCGCTTGCAATGAGTGCTCTGCTAGGTTTGGCAGTTCGCACAAAGTGCCGCTTCCCAGAACAGCGTACCCACCTCTGCTCTCTCCCTTTCAACACTCCATGGTCTGCTTCTCCAGTTCTCATCAGGCACAGGTGCAGCCACTTATTCTAATAGTGTCCACAGATCCTTCCTCTCCCTGACCACAGTCTCTCTGCTACAGTAACTAGCCAAGTCTAGCATTAATTTGACGTTAACATTACATTGCCAGTATGGCAAGTTTAATGTTAGCATTGCATAACGCTAGCTAATGAACAATAAATTTGAACATTTCTCTATAATGTTTTGATTTCAGTGCATGGTGGTTTAATAACTGTGGCTAGCATGCGCTCTGGTTAAGTTAGATTCAAACTTGGCACTGCTTAAAGCTGGCTCATTAGCTAGTTAATGAGCCTGTTGTGGTGGCATCCCGGCTGACGTTGAGTGTCCTGGTTTTTTCTCCTTTTTATCAGTCGCCCTGATCCCCGGCCAGTTATCCCCCGGCCTGGCCCTGATCCCCGGCCTGCTAGCGCCCCTAGCCCCCGGCCTGGCCCTGATCCCCGGCCTGCTAGCCCCCTTGCTCTGTTGGCGGACGGACCGGATTCTGCCCCGCCGGTGGTCTGGCCGACCCCTGTTCCTCGCACCAAGGCCCTCAGCCCAGCAGCCTCATCCCTGACTCCCCCCGCTGCTGTCGCGCTGCCAGCCCCTAGCCTTGCTCCCTGGCCTCTGGAGAGGTCGCCACGCCCGGCTCCCTGCCCGGCTCCCCGGCCTCTGGAGAGGTCATCTCGTCCCTTAGCCCAGCCCTCGGGCCGCCCGCCGGACCCTCCGGGCTCCCCTGGTCCGCCCTCGGGACGTCCGCCCAAACCCCCTTGGTCCCTCTGCTCCGCCCTCTGGCACCCTGTCTAGCCCTGTGTTTTCAGTTCAGCCCTGCCCGTTCCCCTAACCCTTCCCTGTCCTGAAGCCCTCCCTGAATTCCCTGTTTGGTTTTGGACCCTGGACCCCCATCAGCCGGACCCCAGTACGACTTCCTCCCCCCTGTGTTCGTCTGCCAAACCCCTTGTCCAATAGGAAGGCCGCCGGGAGGCGTCCATTGAGGAGGGGGCTCTGTTGTGGTGGCAGCCCGGCTGACGGTGAGTGTCCTGTTTTTTTCTCCTTTTTTATCAGTTTTTTTTCCTTGGTTTTCTGTTCTCTGCCTGCCTCCCTGTGTTTTCTCCCCTGTGTGCTCTCTCTCCCTCTGCTCCTGAGCCCAGCCAACTACCTGCACCTGCAACTCATCAGCCACCTCGTCAGCCTGCCACACCTGCCAGTAATCACCTCATGACTGCCTGTATTTTAACCCCGGTTCTCCACACCATCCTCGCTTGATCGTCGTTGCTCCATACCTGGTGCCACTTCTGTGTTCAGGCTTCCATGTTTCTTGTTTTTTCACTCTTACCCTGTGCCTTGTCTCTCTGTCTGTTTCCCTCCCCAGGTACACTCTCCCTCGTCCTCCGTTCGGCTGGGCTCATCCACTGGCCCACTCCTCTTCGGACTTCCCTCACGGCGTCCTCCCTGTTCCCCCACCTCTCCTCGCTTCCTCGGCCCCTGTGTTCCCCGGCTCCCTGGCCCCCTGTCTCCTTGGTTCCCCGTGCCTGTACTTCCCCGACGTCCTCCTCTCCCTCCCCTCCAGTCCCTCTCACCCTTTTCCCCCCAATAAACCTCCTTCCCTCTGAGTGCTGCATTCGGGTCCTCTCTGTCCACACACCACACCCCGTAACAGAGCCAAGCCAACAAAAAAAAAATCACAAAACTAAACATTCTGTGATCAATCATCGGATCCACTTTCTCGATACATACATGATTGTTGTTGATGCGTTTGTTACCCACGTAACCTGAATCCCACCCCGCTAAACGGGCACCTCACTCTCAGTTAATATTACAAGTTAATGGATTTATCTCTCCAACAAACCATGTTTGTACAAAAGAACTTTTGGTGGCACCTTCAGGAACTGCTCATAAGAGATTTTATGTTTATTGTCACCCCCAAAAGTGAAATGAAATTTCCGCCCTTGAATCAATGGTCTTCCCAGAATTCTAGGATATGATAATGCTCTCAATTTCAGAAGTGTTTTATCATATTTCTATTTTGTCTCTGCAACCTTTTGTAAAGTTCCAGATTAAAAAAGGTACATGCCTAAAGTTTGGTAATTATAAGGACTCCAGTATTGACAGGTCAGTCTAATCTGCATGTAATACATCACCATATACCGCAAGTAAAGTGCCAGCCAGAATGAAAAACACAGCTTTACAAACAGCTTGGGTTTCTAAACAGCCCTCCCTCCCTCTGGCCCTCCACCCCTCCCTCTCACTGGCTTCTCTTGTGTGGTTGGACTACATGAGTCGAGGCTGCTGTAGGGAGACATATGCTTGTATGAAGAGAGAGAAAGTTCTGTTTCTGCTTGCCTGCACTGGCCAACCTCAGGATGTTTCTTCAGCTCTGCTATGGCACAGGTGAGGCTGTTTCTCTCTATGTGAATATGACAAAAGCTGAGAGGGACCAGGAAAAGGAGTTGGTCCACAGACTCTTTTTACGTGACAACAGTAGGAGTTTGTAATGTAAGGACTAGCGTCATTAGTTCCACTGCATTTGGTTTTTGTTGTCTTGTTGTGTCATAAAAACTAAGCATGTCCTGCTGCTCTTCTTATTCTGCCACAGTCACAGAAGTATGAGAATAGCAGTAAGACTCTGAACTTTAGACTGCCTCATGTGGGTTCCTTGGAATTAGGCCAGAAACGTATCCTGCAGTTGCTCTTGTAAATTCCCATTTGAAAGGATTCTTTTAATAAATTTCTCAATCTTCTACAACAAAGAAACACATGAGTCTCCAGCACAGGTTTATGTTATAACAGTCAGTTATAAGTCAGTTTTAGCAACTTTAATGGTTTTTGTGAAATCATATTATTCTCCTCTGCTTGGTGTGATGGATGGCTTTATATACTACAATACCCGCTCTTGCTATAGAAAAGAAGCCTGTCAGCAGCGTGAATTAGAGTTGTAGCAACTTCAGAATACATTGTCACTGTATAAAAAAACCAGAGGAGTAGGTACTAAGCAGTGTCATGGAAATTATTGGATTACTTGGATCTGCTAGTGATGCAACAGAAAAGCAGGTGCTCCTGAAGCACGGGTAAGCAAATACTGTCCACAATGAAGGGTATGGATTCGCCCCCCAAAACAAATTACACTGCTAAAGAAAAGAGCAAAAGTTAAAAAGTTTTTATTTTCATGGCTTCATGATTTAGAAACAAGACTAGCCTCACATGTCTTCAACATCAAGTACAGACTTTTTAGGGGGAATCTATTCTCTTTAATGTGGAAATACTTTGGTATTATAGTTGGCAGCAAAACAGATGTTAAATATTTCAAAAACTCACCCAAAATCAGGTTTCTACAAAGTGTTAGCACGGCATGCAACAGAAATGTAAACTTGGTGATTGGATGTTTCTTATCAAAAGGCTCTGTTAGAGTCTTAGTTGACTTATTTCCCTTTGCTTGTAGGTTTTTATGTACACATGCTTTGTTTTTGACTTTTTATCAGAGAACCAGATGTATCTAACAGTAATTCATGTTTTGCCCTCTTGATTCAACTAGTTTCATGTCCATCTGAGACTTGAAGAGCAAGTCAGCATCAGTCACATATGATGAAATGAATAGATCTTCTGAGCACAGACTGGCACTGTCTGTGCCTACCGGTATGGAAAAGTGTCAAGCATTGAGAGCTGGTACACAGTGTTTGGTCAGATTCAGTCTAATTCACTTATTGCACATGCAAGGGTCCACTGCCAAACTGGGTCTAGGACATGCTATTGTTAAAATCTGTCTGTGGGTTATTCCCATCGAATGGTTCTTTGCTGCACAGTAATTCATTTGACAAACTTAGTTTCTAATAACTGTGACCATTTTCCACTCTCTAGAGGCTTTAGAGGCAAAGCTGCCACATTCCTCTCAGAGGGGTAAGGCTGGAGTGTGGTTGGTAGGGTGATGGGGTGACGGGCTGCCGCCCAGGCTTTAATACACAGTTGCACAGTTGACACAAGAGAGATACTCAGGAATTTGTCTCTTTTCACATCCAGCCAAGCTGAGGAGAATGGATGGCGAGGAAACACTCAGCTGTCCCATTTCCCATGATCCCTCATTGTATCCATGGCTATGAGAAAGGCAGTAGTCTTCTCATTTGATTTACAATGTCCCAGCTTCGTTCTTCCCCATCTCTCTTTTTGTTTACATCTGACTTCCTAACTATTGGAGAATAATTTACAGACATTCTTTGCTTAATAATTCTTTACTACAATGACTGAGTAAGTGGTGATAGCTAGGGTTAAAACAGGGTTCTTGGCACTTTTCCAAGCAAAACACAGCCAAATTGATGACTGACTCTGCCTTTGAAATGGGTTGGATAACTTAAAAAGAAAAAGACTTCCGACTGGTTGAGTGCCTAGATGTGCTTTTAAATCCACCAAAGATACTTTTCATATTTAGGCACCAAAACTACTTGGTTAGGTTTCGGGAAAAATCCTGGTTTTAAAAAAATCAATGTTGACTTTTTGTTTCACACAGGAAACAAACACCAGTCTCCTGGATGAACCTTCTCTTTACTCTGACCTTTCTGATATTTATTTACTATGCCTACTTTTAGTGTTCAAATATGATGCTAAAAGGATTCCCAGTGCATTAAAAACTGATGCCAAGGGGTCTTGACCATGCATCCATATATGATGACTTGGCATAGTGATTGCCCCACATCATATATTTCTTAGGCCTATCAGAGGGCCATAGTTGCCCTGTTAATCAAGAAAGCTAGAGCTACTACTACTTAATTGCGGATCATTTTCTCCACTGAGTATTCTCCTCTGGCAGAAAGGGTCAAAAACATTATCTTTAATAATATCAGCTATGTACCTCTCTTAATCATGTTTAAATGATATCACAATCTGAGAAACAGACTGGTTCATTCTGATACTAGAAAACCACCCAACACTATCTCTTCAACCTCTAGGTTTTTTTCCCCAGCTAGTATATAAATAAATTGCACAGGTGGTCTGGTTTATGTTGGACAAACTTAAAGAGCTTTAATGATTTGCATATTTGCATATGACAAAATGCAATATGCATTATGTGTCTGATGTGGTGTTAATGCATGGGGTGTGGCACATGGACACTTACTGTGGCATTGTGGGATTCATTATCCAATAGATTTACAATCCTGGTTAAACAGTTATCTAATGACAATTGTACACTTGTTCTAGGTTGACTATATATGTTGACCGGGACTTGTTTAAATAAAGGTTTGTATATATATATAGCTAAAGCAAACTTAATATAATACATTTTTGCACCACTTGTTGTGAAAGGGTGTTAGACATCCTAGTTAAAGCCTTAATGCTGTTTGAAACCCACTTTTAGATTTGTGAAACCTTTATTTGATCTGAATTCATTTAGACATTTAGTACAGTAGACATTTTGTAAAGTGCTTTGGATAAAAAGTTTATCCCTAGTGAACTGTATTGAGTTTTCTCAGAATTATTATATCATATATATATAAAATATATTTTGTATTTCTGATTACATTTCAGGAAAATCTTAAGATGGATAGATTAAAGACAAAATGATTAAAAAATAGATAAATTAATGGATTTCTCTTCAGTTTTCTGTATTTCTATTTGGCAGCCACAGTGTAGCATATCTGTAAGAACTTGTTTTTAGTGGAGGGCATTTTTGATTTGCTTTGTTTTTGGCATTATGACGGTGTTTTAGTTGCCCGCCCACCACTCTGACCTCCACACTCTCTTGACTACATTGTATTAATGTCACACTATTTCCTGTATTTGTACTGAATGTTGCTATTAAAAGTGATCCCTGAATTATTTAGTATTTTATTTAAATATATTCTTTCACTTCAGGCTGCCATTATCTTTGCCCAGAAGGAGCTAATGTAGACACATGGTATATGGATATAATTTGTAGAAGATTGAGTTGTTGAGAAACCTGTTGAAGTACCTGAAAACAGCTGCGGACATATTACAGGAAATGAGCCAGCTTAGGTGAATGAGACTGAGTCACTGTGTGTTTTGTGTCCTCATATGTGTGTGTGGGTAGTTTCCCAGCTGAGCAGTACTTGGCTCCTCTGCTTCCCTCTAGAGACTGACCACTAATTCTGGACCAGTGCTTCCATTTAGAGAGGACCAAATGTTAAAAGGTGAAGCCAGAGCCAGAAGCCAGTGAGTTAATGCTGAGTTACACATGCTTGGACTCTTCCCTGGCCCCATCTTCCCATGTCCCTTTTTTCAGTGGCGTCTATGATAATTGAATCCAACCAGTACCAGTCTGACCACAGAGTCAGACTTCCTCTGCATTTTTCCCTCCATCTGAGGCATGCAAACAAATATCACAACATGCATTTAAATGTATAGGTACGTAGATTAACGGACTGATGAAAATGCAGAGTGCCTTCGGGATTCTGCACTTGAAGGACTAAGAGATCTCACTATGCATCTCAACTGTCTAAGATAAGTTCAAAGATGACTGAACACAGAGTCACCCAAATGACAATCAACAAGAGAAGCTTGGAAATTAACATCAGAGAGTGGTGCATTTAGGGGCTATTGCCATATTCATCGGCTGCTGACGACTGTGTATATAGAGCAGATCATGTTTTTAACAGAAAATGTTCAGTGGCGAGGCAAATTTAATGAGTTTTGTGACTTTCACTGTGACAATGATGCATGACACCATGTTGAACAGCACTGTACAACTGCTGTGGTCCCAGAAGTCAGCAGAGTACAGGAAGAGTGGCAGCAATGGCACAAATTTCAAAATAAACGTCAGGAACACTAAAAAATAAACTTCTAATGGGCAGTAGCTCAGAAAACTAAACTGAACTAAAACAAAGAGTAAAGTAATAGATGAAGTAAAATTAATTTGAACCAGTGGAATTAAAATAAACTTTATAATATTATAGCAATTGGATGCATAAACATTTGGTAGGACTGGAGTGTCTTGAAGCCTAGGGTTAAGGAGCCAACCATGAAAAGCAGTGATAAATTTACCGCATGTATCTCTCTCTCTATTTCTCTCTCTCTCTTTCTCTATAACAATAATAATACTAATAATAATGTATTATGTGAGTTTTCATCATATTAATGCTAACCACCTCCTCTCATGTGCATTACAATAAAAGCAATGATACAGTGTGTTTATACTCCCTCTCTCCTGTAGAGTCAGGTCCCAGTTTGGGATCGGGAGATACCATCTTCACACATAAGAGTAGACTTAAGACTTTCCTCTTTGATAAAGCTTACAGTTAGGGCTGGCTCAGGTGAGTCCTGAACCATCCCTTTCTTTGTTACACTATTATAGGCCAAGACTTCCAGGAGACTTCCAAGATGCACTGAGCTCCTCTGTCCTCTTCTCACCCTCTCTTTATGCATTCTCATCCCATTAATGCATGTTA